AGGGCATGGATTGTATGTAAGAACACACTGGGAGCGACCTGTAAGGAACGATTGAAGTAACAACAGAGCTGATTGAGATAGACCGCACATTCGAAGTTTGGCAAGGAGGAGGCCATGGTTAATTGTCTTGAATGCCATTGTGAAGTCAAGAGCAACGATGGCCGTAAGATATCCCGAATCAAAGTTCCTCAGTACGAGATCTGAGATAAAGAGTAGTTCAGTTGGGGTACTGTTATTTACGGAAGCCCGACTGACACGAAGGGATGATCTCAGCATTGTTAACAACAGCGTTCAACTGCTGGAAGCAAACACGTTCCAATAACTTCGACAAGAAGGGGAGAAGAGAAATAGGACGGAAAGAGGAGAGAGAAGAGAGATCACGATTTTTGGGAATGGGAATAACAATCGATCGTTTCCAGGAAGAGGGAAAGATATTATTGGCTAGAGAGAAATTTAAAATGTGGAGCAGAGGGTCAAGACAATGAGGAAGACAAAGTAAGATCATACGACCAGAGAGGTCGTATGGTCCAGCAAAAGTAAGGCGTATGTATTTAAAAATGTTGTAGAGTTGACTGGAATTGATTGAAGTGAAGTTGAACCTGTCAGGAAAATTGCGAGAGGAGAAAGGAAGGTGATCATTGATATCGTTAGAGCAAGAGGGGGTGGGGAGGGAGTCGACAAAGTGATTATTTAGGAGAAATGGATCTTGGAGATGGACAGGTATCGTTATGGAGGAAGATCTGGTTCCTCCAAGCGTCGATAGATTACGTCAGAATTGACAAGAGGAGAGGGAGAAAGATAGGAACGACTTCTTTTTACGACGGATGGCACATGTCACGTCATTGCGCAGAACCTTATAGCACTGCCAATCCTCGGCCGATTGTGTGTGTCTAAATTTATTAAAAGCGCAGCGTTTCAACATGATAAGTCTCTTGACAGCTGAGCTCAGTCATGGAGTGGACGAACAAGCGACACGTTTGAAGCATAGCGGAGCAAGACAGTCAAATATGGATATGAGAGAGGAGGAAAAATAAGAGACTATTTCATCCACATCCGAGGCAGCATACAAAGGAGACCAATCAATATAGTCAAGTTTAGAGGCAATAACATCAGGCTGAATCGCTCGAATATCCCGCGACAACAATGTATGGTCACGACGCGAAAACCCTCCCACACTCAGCATGGCATATAACGCGAAATGATTACTGATACTCTCAGCATCGCTCACGCCGCACTCCACTACGTCAACGTTAGATGAAATCAGAATAAGATCAAGAATCGTTGCCGATTCCCCAGTCACATGCGTGGGCTCATCGATAAGCTGTTTGAGGGAGAGCATAGACGCGACATCGCGCAGGTGCCTAGCGTGACAATCAGATGGGTCAAGCATATTGAAATCTCCTAAGCATATAATCGAATCGGCGCTACAGGCAAGATTAGACAGACATGACTCGATACAACGCAGATCGGCTAGCAGAGCCCGAGAGGGGCAATAAACGCACAAAATCGCCGATCTGAATCGACGAATGAATAATATGGTGACGAAGGAGACGTTAGAGAAATCATTCAAGACGACGGGGAACGATATGATCGTACGCGCACTTAAAGATACGCAGAAAGACATTTCGAAGATGCAAAGCGACGTGGAGAACGTGCGAAACAACGTGAAAGAGGGCTCGAAAAGTGTGAGCACGCTATCGACGAAAGTGACTAACGAGATTTTGCATCTGACTCGAGGTATAACCGATCTGAATCGACGAATGAATAATATGGTGACGAAGGAAACGTTAGAGAAATCATTCAAGACGACGGGGAACGATATGATTGCGCGCGCGCTTCAAGGTGTGGTGACGGTTGAAAAAAACCGGACATAATTTCAAGAAAACGTTTTGAAACGGTAGGGAATGTTATGATTGCGCGTGAGCTTCAAGATACGGAGAACATCTAATATTTAAATTCAGCTCGGGGACAAAAATTAAAATCAAAAAAGGATGAACTGTAAAAAGAGATAGGAAGGTTTAAAAGACGTGCGCACAAGCTTCTCTCTGTTATAATAGAGGGAGAGATGAGTGTCGAGAAACGAAAACTCGTGGAAGAACTCCACGCACCCGCGCGAAGAAATTTTCCACGTCGTCGCGTTGTGGTACGCGGTCGCGACGATTTGTGGCAGGCTGACGTAGTCGAGATGCGTCCTTACGCACGATTCAACAAAGGTTACAATTACATTTTAACAATTATCGATGTTTTGAGTAAATACGCATGGGCACTACCACTCAAGAGCAAGAACGGAAGTGACGTAGCCGCAGCGTTATCTAAAATATTTCGCGAAGATGAACGATACCCGCGAAACCTGCAGACGGATCAAGGAAAGGAATTTTACAACTCCACTGTACAAAAAATTGTGCAAGGGCGCAACATAAATCACTATTCGTCGTACTCGGTGATGAAAACGACGGTAGTGGAACGATTGAATCGCACACTCAAGAATAACATGTGGAAACTATTTACGTTAAACGGCTCGTACAGATGGATCGACGAGTTACCGCGTCTACTGTCGAATTATAATCACCGTAGACATCGAACCATCGGAATGCGGCCGATAGACGTGACACCCGTCGTTGCAAAGCGGCTCTTATCAACGGTATACAGTCACGTAAAAATTGCCGGCCCAACGAAATTCAAGACATGTGATCCAGTATGTATTAGTAAATTCAAAACAATTTTCGAAAAAGGCTACACACCTAATTGGTCCACCGAAATTTTCTACATCGTTAAAATACGACATACAAATCCTGCAACGTATCTGTTAAAAGATTATCAAGGAAAACCGATAGCTGGTGGATTTTACGAACACGAATTACAACGAGTCTCCAATCCTGATGTTTATCTCGTGGAAAAAATATTACGCAAACGAGGAAATAAAGTGTACGTGAAATGGCTGGGAATGAACAGTTCGCATAATTCTTGGATAGATAAAACGAATGTATTGTAAATTTTTTGTTTTTATTATATAAGTTTTTTTATTACAATAAAAAAGATGCGTCACACACACATTACAACGGTATTTTATAATGTCCCCAAGGTAGAGTAGCGACCGAATCGGGTACGACGTACCGCTTATCGTCATACGGACTGAGAGCGAGTTTCAATTCAGACACCGTGTAGACCTCGTGCAATGTCGATCGTATGCACGACTGCCGTCTCAGCTGTTCCATTACGTCATTCAAACACCGCATGTAATCGTCGAAAGTGATCGTTTTCGCGACTACGTTTTTCTTCACACCCTTTATTCTCTTCGTATCGTTCCTCCTGATCACTCTAAATGCGTACATCTTCGCTCTGAGTCCTACGAATTCCGTCATAATCGCATCGTTATTTTCATCTTTCACATCAAACCGGGTATTTTGGTATTAACGCGTGGAATATCATACGCGTTTCCCTCAGGGTAATCGCTCGTGTCGAATCTCGCGATATCACGCTTGATATTCTCGTATACATTTTCACACTCCAAAAGATATATCAAGCTGTCAGTGTCCGTGTACATGATCTTACACTTATAGCGATACAACAGCATTATGTAATCGTAGTGAAATTCATACAGACGCATTTTGGATATTTCGAGAATGCACTGCGACCGCACTCACGAGCGTGGTGCCACTTCGTCGCGCGTTCGCGAGTATTGCTCTACCTCTCCTTCGGCGATACTTTCGCGACAACAAAAATACTCCACGCCACAACGGCTCTCTCAAATCTTACCTACTCTAAATTTTACGTCAATAATTGGGCGCCAGGCGCGAGAGAGCGTGCCACTCTTTCTGAGATCTTTTCGGTACGTTCTCACTCTAAAATACGGAGATGTAGAGACTCACGAATGCGGACGGCTCTGATAACCGACTGCTCAGTCACGATAATGGCAGAGGGGGTGGTTCGTGGTCGGGAACGGAGGATCTTTGGAGAACGAGTAAGGCGAGAAACAGTAAAATAGACAAAATTAATAACAGTAAGGTAGTAACAAGTGTATTCTTTACGCCGATCATACAGTTGCTGACGCACAGGCAGACGGATTGATTCTGCGATATGCAAACGCGCTGGTCTCCGCGATA